GTCTGTCATATGTCTAAGAAAGAAGTAGCAATGAAAGCAGAAGATGTTTTTGCCAGATGGATGAAATCATACGCTCATAGATAGAGATCGGTACTAGCCGAATGTATACATGTCCAGATCAAGAAAGTATCGAAAGAAGTTTCTATTGAAATTCACAATCGGGATGGAGCAACTTCCACAAGGAAGCGAAGAGAGGGTAAGGAGAATAAATTTCAAAATTGAGTCATTGTCATAGTTTCTTCGATGCACTAGATTCCCTCTCTCTTTCAGTAGTAATAAGGATGATTAAATATCGAAACAAGATCAAAGGTAGTGGAATTAAGGAAATGGACGGATAACGCAGCATGCGATAGCCAACAAATATTCAAGAGCTGTTACAGAATATGAGTGTAATCACTTATGAAGCATATGCGATGTTCTGTACTAAGATTATCAGTGGCAAGAAGAAAACAGGACATGGCGGCGTCGGCCATCAGGTTCTTGTGCCCCAGCCCGGAATCCGTAGATGAAGTAGAGATCATAGACGGAGTCACGGGCAGGGGGGTCAGAAATAGCGGGGATCATAAGAAGAGATCATGGGGCCTTTGTAAAGACCATTTTCAAGCTCTTCCAAAAAACCCAGACATACAATCGTCCTCCGAAGGACACAATCCTCTGATGAAGATTAACAAGGCGGAAGGAGGGCGGCACAGGATTGTGTCCTTCGGACAATGATTTAGTGTCTGAATTTTTTACCAGAGCTTCTAGATGGTATTTACTAAAAACGCATGAAATCTTTTTAAAATCTATGAATTTTAACTCCCACAAATCCTCGTCAAAGTCGATGAACGGTATTTGGGCTGGTGGAAGAGAAAAACGATGGGCGTGGCCGCGACAAAAGTTGTAGTCAAAAAATCAGCGTGCTCTCGGACAAGTAATTTATCGTTGATTTTGTGACAGAAGTCACAGAAAACATAGAAATATTCGAATTTCTTGAAGAAAATGTTACAAAGAAGTACAAATTAAAAGTTTATATCTCAATAACTATATTTGAAATCAGAACCAAATGATAACTCATAATTATTCGGGTAAAACAATCAAGTTAATTCCTCCGGCAGCCTTCTTCATAAATCATTGGTAAGTAATTTGGATTCGGTTCATTTCTCAAGCAATCATGATTCAAAGCAAGAAGACGATAACTGACGATTGATTGGGGTAGCCATCCCATTCCAACAATTGATATGTGATTCTCAGGGAAGGTCCAGCATTCTTTGATCTGGAAATGAGAAGAAACAATTATTGGAAATGCTCTTGAAGAACTCACCACACTATCATGGAAGGTGAGGACCACTGAAGACTTCACTTGGTTTTTCTTTTTATTCTTTTTTCTTTCACTTTCTTCCTTTTCATCTTCTTCTTTAGCTTCCTTCAATTCTTTTTCAATTATTTCCTGATCTGCTTCTAGTGCTTTTTTTATAGCATCCTTTGTCTGAGGCAGTTTCTTTTGTTCTTTAATAGACTCAGTTTG